ATATAGGCAAGAAACAGAAATCAGATGTTTAAAAATTGAAAAATCTAGGCCAGGTGTGGTGGTTTATGCCTATAATCCCAGCACTTTGGGAGGCCAAGGCAGGTGGATCACTTAAAGTCAGGAGTTCGAGACCAGCCTGGCCAACATGGCAAAACCCCGTCTCTACTAAAAATACAAAAATTAGCCAGGTGGCTTGTGCCTGTAATCCCAGCTACTGGGAGGGTGGGGACTGAGGCAGGAAAATCGCTTGAACCCTGGAGACGGAGGTTGCAGTGAGCCAAGATCATGCCTCTGCAGTCCAGCCTGGGCAACAGAGTGAGACTGTCTTAAAAAAAAAAAAAGTTGGAAAATCTAGATATAAAAAATCATTTGCGGTCAGGTGCGGTGGCTCAAGCCTGTAATCCCAGCACTTTGAGAGGCCGAGGCGGGTGGATCACGAGGTCGAGAGATCGAGACCATCCTGGTCAGCATGGTGAAACCCCGTCTCTACTAAAAATACAAAAAACTAGCTGGGCGTGGTGGCACGTGCCTGTAATCCCAGCTACTCAGGAGGCTGAGGCAGGAGAATTGCCTGAGCCCAGGAGGCGGAGGCTGCGGTGAGCAGAGATCGTGCCATTGCACTCCAGCCTGGGTAACAAGAGCGAAACTCCGTCTCAAAAAAAAAAAAAAAATCATTTGCAAGTAAGATGATTATATATCTGGAAAACTCAAGAAAATCAACTGAAGCTATACATAGTGTTTCACACCTGTAAACCCAGCACTTTGGGAGGTTGAGGTGGGTAAATCACTTGAGCTCAGGAGTTGGAGATCACCCTGGGCAACATGGTGAAACTCTGTCTCTATAAAAAATACAAAAGTTAGCCAGGTATGGTGGCATATGCCTACAGGCCCAGCTCAAAAGGCTGAGGTGGAAGGATTGCTTGAGCCTGGGAGGCAGAGGTTGCAGTGAGCCAAGATTGCACCACTGCATTCCAGCTTGGGTGACAAAGCCAGACCCTGCAAAAGCAAAAAAGAGAGAGCGGGGAGGGGAGGAGAGAGAGAGAAAGAAAGAAGAAAGAAAATGAACAAAAGGTTCACATGCTTTAATACAGCAAGATGGTTGCATACAATATTGAGTCTCCATTTACCATAGCACTAACAACAAAAATAAAAGAAACACTTAGAATATGCAAGAGCTAGATGAAAACTTTAAGATGCTCTTTTTTTTTCTTTTTTTGAGACCGAGTCTTGCTCTGTCATACAGGATGGAGTGCAGTGGTGGCGCAATCTCAGCTCACTGAGATTGAAACGTCTACCTCCTGGGTTTAAGTGATTCTCCTGCCTCCGCTACCTGAGTATCTGGGATTATAGGCAGCTGCCACCATGCCCACCTAATAATTGTAGTTTTAGTAGAGACAGGGTTTCACCATGTTGACCAGGTTGGTCTCGAATTCCTGACCTCAGGTGATCCGCCCACTTCAGCCTCCTAAAGTGCTAGGATTACAGGCATGAGCCACCATGCCTGGACCTGTATCTGTTGTATACATTTGTTTAAACATATAAAAAATTTTGTGCAACACACACACACACACACACACACATACACACACACATAAACCTGAACAAAAAAAAAAGAAATGTATACTTGGCCTGGGTGACAAAGTGAAACTCTGTATCAAAAAAAAAAAAAAAAAAAAAAGGTATACCATATTCTTGGATAGGAAGACTATATTCGTGAAGATAAGCTAGGTTTTACTGTTTTAGCAAAACTCATGAGCCTTGGTGGCTTAAAACAACAAAAAGATTACTTGTTGCTCATACTATGAATCCATCATGGCTTGGCAGGAAGTGAACTTCACTGTGTTCTCTCAGGGACATGTCTAAAGGAACAGCCATCACCTTGAACATTGTGGGTTATTATGCCAGAGGAAAAGTAAACTCTGTAGGTCATCAAACCAGTTGACAAGCTCAGCACAGAAATAACATATCAATTCTGCTCACATCTCATTGACAAATGCTGGCAAACAGCACCAACAATGACCTCAAAGACTCAGCATCATAAAAATAAAACTAAAATAACAGAATGGAAGTGACTTATCAATAGGCAGGTCAATAGAAAATAACAGCCAGGCACGGTGGCTCCCACCTGTAATCCCAGTACTTTGGGAGGCTAAGGCGGGTGGATCACCTGATGTCAGTAGCTCAAGACCAGCCTGGCCAACATGGTGAGACTCCATCTCTACTAAAAATACACAAATTAGCTGGATGTAGTGGCACACATCTGTAATCCCAGCTACTCAGGAAGCTGAAGCCAGGAGAATCGCTTGAACTTGGGAGGTGAAAGTTGCAGTGAGCCAAGATCATGCCACTGCACTCTATGCTGGGCGAAAGAGGGAGACTCCATAAAAAAAAAAAAATCCCCAAAATAATAGGTTGGTAACCTCAAATGCAAATATTAAGAATGGCAGGAAAATTGTCACCTGCCCTAAACCATTTCTGATATTTGCAACTTTTAAAAATCAGGACCAGGGCCTGCTACCTCCAGGTCACCCCAACAGCAAATTTGCTGTGGAAACACCTCCTACATAATCTGCCATCTCCCTTTGTATTTACTTCTTTTTTTTTTTTTTGAAACAAAGGCACAGTCTTGCCTCACTGCAACCTCTGCCTTCTGGGTTCAAGCAATTCTTCTGCCTCAGCCTCCTAAATAGCTAGGAATACAGGTATGCTTCACCATGCCTGGGTGATTTTTTGTACCATGCCTGGGTAATATTTTATATTTTTAAAAATAGAGATGGGGTTTCACCATGTTGGCCTGGGTGGTCTGGAACTTCTGACCTCAAGCGATTCACCCACCTTGGCTTCCCAAAGTGCTGGGATTATAGGCGTGAGCCACCACCCACTGCCTGTATTTACTTTCATTTTTTTCTTTTCTTTTTTTCCTTTTTTTCTGAGACAGAGAATGCTCTGTCACCTAGGTTGAAGTGTAGTGGCTCCATCTCAGCTCACTGCAGCCTCCGCTTCCTGGGTTCAAGCAATTCTCCTGCCTCAATGAGCCTCCTGAGTAGCTGGGATTACAGGTGCCCACCACCAAGCCCGGCTAACTTTTGTATTTTTAGAAGACACGGGGTTTCACCTTGTTAGCCAGCTGGTCTCGAACTCTTGACCTCATGATCCGCCTGCCTCAGCCTCTCAAAGTACTGGGATTATAGGCATGATCCACCTCACCTGGCCTTTTTTTTTTTTTTTTTTTTTCATTAAAAAATATTTTGGGGGGGCATATAGTAGGGGTACATATTTTGGAGATATAGGAGATATTTTGATACAGGCATGCAATGTATAATAATCACATCAGGGTAAATGGGGTATCCATTGCCTCAAGCATTTAACCTTTATGTTACGAACGATCCAATTATACCTTTTTAGATATTTTTTAATGTACAATTACATTATTGACTATAATCACCTTGTTGTGCTTTCAAATGCTAGCTCTTATTCACTCTATTTTTTTGTACCCATTAACCATCCCTATTTTTCCCCCACCCCCACTACCCTTTCTGGTCTCTGGTAACTATCCTTCTCTCTCTCTTTTTTTTTCTTCTGAGACTGGGTCTCTCTCTGTCACCCAGGCTGGAGTGTAGCGGTGTGATCATGGCTTACTACAGCCTCGACCTCCTGGGGTTTGAATGATCCACCAAGCTCATCTTCCTGAATAGCTGGTACTACAGGCATGCACCATCACGCCCAGCTATTTTTTTGGTATTTTTTGTAGAGACAGGGTCTCACTTTGTTGTCCAGGCTGGTCTCACACTCCTGGGCTCAAGTGATCCTCCTTCCTCAGCCTTCCAAAGTGCTGGGAATACAGGCGTGAGTCACGGCACCCATCCTGTCCTTCTACTCTCTATGTCCATGAGTTCAATCATTTTAATTTTTAGCTCCCACAAATAAGTGAGAACATGTGAAGTTTGTCTTTCTGTGCCTGGCTTATTTCACTTAACATAATGACCTCAGTTTTGTCCATGATGTTGCAAATGGCAGGTTCTTATTCTTTTTGTTTGTTTTGAGACAGTCTGACTCCCAAACCCAGGCTGGAGGGCAGGGGTGCACCTCCACATCCAAGGTTTAAGAGATTCTCCTGCCCTAGCCTCCCAAGTAATCCTGGGATCATGCCTGGGTAATTTTTGTATTTTTTTGCAGAGACAGGGTTTCACCATCTTGGCCAGACTGTTCTTGAACTCCTGGCCTCAAGTGATCCACCTGCCTCAGCCTCCCAAAATGCTGGAATTATAGGCATGAGCCACCATGGCTGGTCTCATTCTTTGTTATGCCATCTTCCATTTTGAAAATCATGTATTTCTGGTGAACCAAAAATAATGAAAGAAATTCACAGCCGGGCGCGATGGCTCATGCCTGTAATCCCAGCATTTTGGGAGGTCAAGGTGGGTGGATCACGAGGTCAGGAGTTTGAGACCAGCCTGACCAACATGGTGAAACCCTATCTCTACTAAAGTTACAAAAATTAGCCAGCCATGGTGGCCTGTACCTGTAATCCCAGCTACTCTGGAAACTGAGGCAGGGGAATCGCTTGAACCTGGGAGGCAGAGGTTGCAGTGAGCCAAGATCATGCCATTGTATTCTAGCCTGGGTGACAAGACTCTGTCTCAAAACAAAAAAAAAAAAAAAGAAAAGAAAGAAAGAAAGAAAAAAAGAAATTCAGAATAACTGGAAAGCATCTCTAAATTTTTGAAGTTGATATTTTGGAGACTAACCATGATCCACAAAATACACTTGGCATCTCTGCTGGAGATATATATGAATGAAATGGATTATGTTATATGTCATTTCTTATTTTCTAAAAAATAGATCTTTTGCTATCTTAAACAGGCTTCCATCCCATAGACCTTATATAAGATAGTCTTTTAGAACATATGACAAACATGAGTATACTTCTAGGGCAATGACGGAGAATATTTGAAATCAGAACTAAACCAGAAAACTAGACATATAATAATTAGATCTACCTGGCATACTGGATCAGCCTATAGGCAATGTACTTGTGAAATAGGTATCCCAAATGAACTGTGTCCATATGAAGTATCTCAATTATGAGAGTCCTAGCTGTTGTATGTAGCTGTGAAGGGAATCCACAAGTTTTTATAGCCTGATTTAATAATATCAGGTTCTTCTTCTGAGCCTCCACATCAACAAAATACCTCTTCTCTTCAAGTTCTTTAGGAGAGGAAGGAGGCACCATTATCTTGGGTTTCTTGGTACCTGAAACTGAACTCAGTATCCAGGGCTTATCTATAGGAGGGAATCGGGATTTCTGGTACCATTCAGGAGGTGAAATCTGTGATGTTTTGAGTAGAGTAGTAAGAGAAGATAGTGATATTGTAGGCTTCATGAGAGTGGGAAGGGCCCCTTCGTTAGTGTAAGGGGTTTGAGATCCTGGTGTCCTGTATTTGGTGAGATGGGACTGAAATGTTCTAAATGATTCTATAGCAAACGGATCTTGAAGTATCTGAGTTTCTTCAGAAGTATCAGAGACCTCTGACATTTGGAACTTCTTAGTGGTGAAGGGAACTTGAGATACCTTGAAATCTGGAGCACTAGGATGGATCAGTGCTGATTTAGATTTCAGAGAAGAAATAAATGCCAGTCTCTTCTTAGCAAAAGACGGGGACCAAACTCTCTGGGGCTTTCCAGGTGTTGGGGATGGCCAGAGTGTGGGAGGATGTCTAGGGGTGGGAGGGATCCATAATGAAGAAGCTTGCCCAGGAAGGGTCCATGGTGCCAAATGCTGCCCAAGAGTGGAAGGAGCCTGCAGATAGGGAGATTGCTCAGCAGTGGCAGGAGGCTGGAATTCCTGGAGCTGCTCAGAGAAGGTTAAGGATCCAGATTGCAGGCGGTCCCCATGGATGGAAGAGGCTCCAGGAACTAAGGGCTGCCCAGGAAGGAGAGGAGCCCAGAGACTGGGAATCTGTCCAGAAGCAGGTGGGACTGCAGCTATAAGTTGCTGTCTGGGGGCAAGAGGGGCTTTTGACATTTGAGGTGGTAGAGGAGTCAGAGAGGCCCCAGTTATGAAAAGCTCTCTAGAGCCAAGGGCCTCCTGTTCAAAGGGCTGCCCTGGAGTGGGAGGGGCCCCAGATATTGGGAGCTGCCCAGGAGTGGGAAGGGCCTGTGGTGCTGGTAACTGCCCAGAAGTGGATTGACCTCTGTATACCAGGGTCTGTCCAGAGGAATGAAGAGTCTGTGGTGACCCAAGTATCCCAGCCTCAGGTAGAACCCCCATTTCTAGGGGTTTCCCAGGGGCAAAGGTGCCTTGATTGAGAGGAAGCCTTGACATCTGCAAAGGAGTAGAAGAGACCCCAAATATAGAGGACTTCTTAGCAGTAGGAACAGATGATGCCAGAGACAGCTTCAGGCTTGGAGATAATCTTGATATGATGGATTGCCCAGTGGGGAGAGAAGCCTTCAATTCCTGAAATGGTCTATGGGTAGGAGTAGCCAATATGGCCTGCTGCTTAGGAATGTGAGGCACTCTTGGTGTGACAGAAGCTCTTGGTTTAGGATCATGCTCAGACATGAGAGTAATACGCACAGGCTGGACCTGTCCTGGGGTGAAGGGGAAGCCCAAAGGTTGGACTTGGTTAAGGGTAAGGAGTGATTCCAAGGTATGGGCTTTATCTAAGGTCAGAGGAACCCCTAATTTCAATGACTGTTCTTGAGCCTGTTCTAAGTTGATAGGAGACTCCAAAGCCTGGGTTTTCACAGGGGTAAAGGTGACAGCTGACACCCAGGCATTTGCTGAGGTGATGGGGACTCCCAGTGCCTGGGCCTGCTGAGGGGTGAGAGTGATCCCCTGAGCCTGTGCCTGCTGAGGGGTGAGAGTGATCCCCAGTTCCTGAGCCTGCTGAGGGGTGATAGTGATCCTCAGTTCCTGAGCCTGCTGAGGGGTGAGAGGGATCCCCAATTGCTGGGCCTGCTGAGGGGTGAGAGAGATCCCCAGGGCCTGGGCCTGTTGAGGGGTGAGAGTGATCTTCTGAGCCTGGGCCTGCTGAGAGGTGAGAGGGATCCCTAGCTCCTGGGCCTGCTGAGGGGTGAGAGTGATCCCCTGAGCCTCGGCCTGCTGAGGGGTGAGAGGGATCCCCAGTTCCTGGGCCTGCTGAAGGGTAAGAGGGATCCCCAGTTCCTGGGCCTGCTGAGGGGTGAGAGGGATCCCCAGGGCCTGGGCCTGCTGAGGGGTGAGAGGGATCCCCAATTCCTGGGCCTGCTGAGGGGTGAGAGGGATCCCCAATTCCTGGGCCTGCTGAGGGGTGAGAGGGATCCCCAGGGCCTGGGCCTGCTGAGGGGTGAGAGGGATCCCCTGAGCCTGGGCCTGCTGAGGGGTGAAAGGGATCCCCAGGGCCTGGGCCTGCTGAGGGGTGAGAGGGATCCCCTGAGCCTGGGTCTGCTGAGGGGTGAGAGTGATCCCCAGTTCCTGGGCCTGTTGAGGGGTGAGAGTGATCCCCTGAGCCTGGGCCTGCTGAGGGGTGAGAGTGATCTTCTGAGCCTGGGCCTGCTGAGGGGTGAGAGTGATCCCCAGTTCCTGGGCCTGCTGAGGGGTGAGAGGGATCCCCAGTTCCTGGGCCTGCTGAGGGGTGAGAGGGATCCCCAGTTCCTGGGCCTGCTGAGGGGTGAGAGGGATCCCCAGTTCCTGGGCCTGCTGAGGGGTGAGAGGGATCCCCAGTTCCTGGGCCTGCTGAGGGGTGAGAGTGATCCCCTGAGCCTGGGCCTGCTGAGGGATGAGAGGGATCCCCAGGGCCTGGGCCTGCTGAGGAGTCAGAGGGATCCCCTGAGCCTGGGCCTGCTGAGGAGTGAGAGGGATCCCCAGGGCCTGGGCCTGCTGAGGGGTGAGAGTGATCCCCTGAGCCTGGGCCTGCTGAGGGGTGAGAGTGATCCCCAGTTCCTGGGCCTGTTGAGGGGTGAGAGTGATCCCGTGAGCCTGGGCCTGCTGAGGGGTGAGAGGGATCCCCAGTTCCTGGGCCTGCTGAGGGGTGAGAGTGATCCCCTGAGCCTGGGCCTGCTGAGGGGTGAGAGGGATCCCCAGGGCCTGGGCCTGCTGAGGGGTGAGAGTGATCCCCTGAGCCTGGGCCTGCTGAGGGATGAGAGGGATTCCCAGGGCCTGGGCCTGCTGAGGGGTGAGAGGGATCCCCTGAGCCTGGGCCTGCTGAGGAGTGAGAGGGATCCCCAGGGCCTGGGCCTGCTGAGGGGTGAGAGTGATCCCCTGAGCCTGGGCCTGCTGAGGGGTGAGAGTGATCCCCAGTTCCTGGGCCTGTTGAGGGGTGAGAGTGATCCCGTGAGCCTGGGCCTGCTGAGGGCTGAGAGGGATCCCCAGGGCCTGGGCCAGCTGAGGGGTAAGAGGGATCCCCAGTTCCTGGGCCTGCTGAGGGGTGAGAGGGATCCCCAGTTCCTGGGCCTGCTGAGGGGTGAGAGGGATCCCCAGTTCCTGGGCCTGCTGAGGGGTGAGAGTGATCCCCTGAGCCTGGGCCTGTTGAGGGGTGAGAGGGATCCCCAGGGCCTGGGCCTGCTGAGGGGTGAGAGTGATCCCCTGAGCCTGGGCCTGCTGAGGGATGAGAGGGATTCCCAGGGCCTGGGCCTGCTGAGGGGTGAGAGGGATCCCCTGAGCCTGGGCCTGCTGAGGAGTGAGAGGGATCCCCAGGGCCTGGGCCTGCTGAGGGGTGAGAGTGATCCCCTGAGCCTGGGCCTGCTGAGGGGTGAGAGTGATCCCCAGTTCCTGGGCCTGTTGAGAGGTGAGAGTGATCCCGTGAGCCTGGGCCTGCTGAGGGCTGAGAGGGATCCCCAGGGCCTGGGCCAGCTGAGGGGTAAGAGGGATCCCCAGTTTCTGGGCCTGCTGAGGGGTGAGAGGGATCCCCTGAGCCTGGGCCTGCTGAGGAGTGAGAGGGATCCCCAGGGCCTGGGCCTGCTGAGGGGTGAGAGTGATCCCCTGAGCCTGGGCCTGCTGAGGGGTGAGAGTGATCCCCAGTTCCTGGGCCTGTTGAGGGGTTAGAGTGATCCCGTGAGCCTGGGCCTGCTGAGGGCTGAGAGGGATCCCCAGGGCCTGGGCCTGCTGAGGGGTGAGAGTGATCTTCTGAGCCTGGGCCTGCTGAGGGGTGAGAGTGATCCCCAGTTCCTGGGCCTGCTGAGGGGTGAGAGGGATCCCCAGTTCCTGGGCCTGCTGAGGGGTGAGAGAGATCCCCAGGGCCTGGGCCTGCTGAGGTGTGAGAGTGATCCCCAGGGCCTGGGTCTGCTGAGGGGTGAGAGTGAACCCCAGTTCCTGAGCCTGTTGAGGGGTGAGAGTGATCCCTTGAGCCTGAGCCTGCTGAGGGGTGAGAGGGATCCCCAGGGCCTGAGCCTTCTGAGGGGTGAGAGGGATCCCCTGAGCCTGAGCCTGCTGAGAGGTGAGAGGGATCTCCAGGGTCTGGGCCTGCTGAGGGGTGAGAGGGATCCCCAGTTCCTGGGCCTGCTGAGGGGTGAGAGGGATCTCCAGTTCCTGGGCCTGCTGAGGGGTGAGAGTGATCCCCTGAGCCTGGGCCTGCTGAGGGGTGAGAGGGATCCCCAGGGCCTGGGCCTGCTGAGGGGTGATAGGGATCCCCAGGGCCTGGGCCTGCTGAGGGGTGAGAGGGATCCCCAGGGCCTGGGCCTGCTGAGGGGTGAGAGGGATCCCCAGGGCCTGAGCTTGCTGAGGGGTTAGAGGGATCCCCAGGGCCTGGGCCTGCTGAGGAGTCAGAGGGATCCTCTGAGCCTGGGCCTGCTGAGGGGTGAGAGTGATCCCCAGGGCCTGGGCCTGCTGAGGGGTGAGAGTGATCCCCAGGGCCTGGGCCTGCTGAGGGGTGAGAGTGATCCCCAGGGCTTGGGCCTGCTGAGGGGTAAGAGTGATCCTCTCATCCTGAGCCTGCTGAGGAGTGAGAGGTATCCCCAGTTCCTGAGCCTGCTGAGGGGTGAGAGGTATCTGCCGAGGGGTGAGAGGGATTCCCAGGGCCTGGGTCTGCTGAGGAGTGAGAGTGATCCCCAGTTCCTGAGCTTGTTGAGAGGTGAGAGTGATCCCTTGAGCCTGGGCCTGCTGAGGGGTGAGAGGGATCCCCAGGGCCTGGGCCTGCTGAGGGGTGAGAGTGATCCCCTGAGCCTGGGCCTGCTGAGGGATGAGAGGGATCCCCAGTTCCTGAGGCTGTTGAGAGGTGAGAGTGATCCCTTGATCCTGGGCCTGCTGAGAGGTGACAGGGATCCCCAGGGCCTGAGCCTGCTGAGAGGTGAGAATGATCCCCAATTCCTGGGCCTGCTGAGGGGTGAGAGTGAGCCCCAATTCCTGGACCTGCTGAGGGGTGAGAGGAATCCCCAGGGCCTGGGCCTGCTGAGGGGTGAGAGTGATTTTCTGAGCCTGAGCCTGCTGAGGGGTGAGAGGGATTCCCAGGGCCTGGGCCTGCTGAGGGGTAAGAGGGATCCCTAGTTCCTGGGCCTGCTGAGGGGTGAGGGTGATCCCCACTTGCTGGGCCTGCTGAGGTGTGAGATGAATGTGTTTACTGAGAGGCTGTCCAGAAATAGGAAGAGCTCCAGGTGGGGAGGATTGTGGGGAGGGAGGTGTGACTAGTACGGGCTTCTTTTCATCAGGAAGATTTTCTAATGTCTTCAGAGTCCTGTGAAACTCTTCTCCTTGATATGACTGCTGTACTTCTTTCACTGCGCTCTTCCACCTGGGAGATAATGTCATTGGAGTTTGGATGACCATTTTTTCTAGCTCTTTAGGTTTTGTCTTCTTCGTCTGCATCCGATCCTTTGTTTCGGTCTGCCTTTGCCTTTCAAGGTCCTCTAGCCCTCTCTGTGGCTTCTGCTTTTTCTTCTGTTTCTCCTGTTTTATGATTGGCTCCAGATGTTTCACTTCCTTCTGAATCTGCCTCATCTGTCCATTCTCCTTTTCCAAGAGCAACCCTTGTGCCTTCATTTTTTGTATCCCTTCTTCCAGCCGCTGCAGGCTTGACTCTGGAAGCTCTTCTTCCTCCTCTTGCTCAGTCTGCTTTGGAGTCCTCTGTTTTTGCTCTATCTTCCATATCTCTTCTTCCTGCCACTGTTTCTGTCTCTGTTGTTCTTGCTTTCCCTCCTTCATCTGGTGATATGCCTTTTTCTCTTCCCAATTCTCACTTATCCTCTTATAGTGCTCCTTTAAGAGATTTCCTTCTTCCAGCAACTGCTGTTTGAGACTCATGCCAGACATTTGTTCTTCCTCTTGCAAATATTGCTCCTGCCTTTGTTCTTCCCTCTCCTTGTGGTCTTTCTGTACTGTTGAGACTGTTGAAACATCTCTTTCACTTTCAATTTCAGCCAAGATCATTTGTATTAAATTGTTAATTACTGGATCCGTGCTCTCATGTGAGAGAAAGGTACTGCTTTCAGACTTCTGAAAATGCAATCCTGGCATAAATGAGACTACCTTTTTTTGTTTTTTAGGTTTCCCAACTTGTTCTTCCTTTTTTTTATCTTTGTATTTTCTCAAGATTTTAGTCACAGTTTCAGCCACTTTTTGGAAATATTCCTCCATTTTTGCCTTTATGATTCCTAATTTTTCAGCTTCTGCTCTTTTTAATAACTCCTCTTCCTTCAGAAGAGTCTTTTTGTCAAAAGGCTTTCCGATGTTATCAATTTTCTCTTTTAGGAAAGCCATTATGGCATTCTGAAATTCTTCTAAGTTACTCTGTTCACTTTTGCCATCTGGACTTTCTAGAACTCTGGTAGATTCTGAAATCTCTTTAGCTACCCTTGAGAGTGATTTAACAAGTTGATGAGATTTGACTTGTTTGGTTAACACTTCCTTCTCTTCAGTTTTTTCTTCCTTGCTTGTAGTGGTTCCTAAAGAGATATGGTGTTTTTTTCCTTTTATTTTTTCTTTCGATGGCTCATCAGTATAATCAGATTGGATTGTACTGAGTGGCTCCACTAGGCTTCTGATTTCACCTTTGCTTTCTTTGTGCAGTGCCTCAGTGGTGGGTTCCACTTTAATCTCTGGTGCAGTTGGTCTTCTGTCAAATGGGGACTCACGTTTGACCTTCCTAAATTGCTCCAACATAATACTTGTTCTACTTCTGCCACCTTGGCTCTTTGTTTCAGTGAAAAAGAGATGTTGGCCTTTTGCTTCAGTGGGTGAGTTTGATTTGACTTCAGAAAAGGATTTCTTTTTTCTTTTCTTTTCCAGTAGCTCATAGTAGTGACTAGGTTTGGCCTCTGAGACTTTCTGTCCACCTTTATTATCACTCAGATTTGGTTCAGAGGTCTCATCTACATGTGTGCCTTTTGTATGCTTTTTTTTCCATGCTTGATACTCCTTACCTTTCTTCAGTGGTATGTAATCTTTAGTGCCATCTTCAGAAATATCTTCGGAAGCCACAGGCTGCTGTGGCTGTTCAGTTAAATCTGGAGTTGTTTCAGCTTGGGCTGTATATGAAATGGTGGAGTCCCATTTTATCCCAGAGCCCTTGGTCCCTTTTCTTTGGACTTCATCTACAATATTTTCAAGTTCCTTGTCTAAAATATTGTCCATATTGTCCTCAATATCACCAGCTTTGATAATGGCCCTGGATGACTGCAGAGAAGATCCAGGTAACACTTTCACAGTTGATGATGCAGACAATGTTTTATACACCTGTTCTGTAACAATTTTGGATCGAAGAAGTTGTTCACATTTTTCTTCTGCATCATGAAGTTTCTGCTGAAGCATTTCATTTTCGTTGCTGAGATCTTGTATTATCTTCAGAGAGAGCTCCTTTCCGGCTTCACTTGTTTCACGTTCATATATAGTGGAACTTTGGAAGTTAGTACCTTTTAATTCATCACTTAGCGCACTCAAAGCTTTAGAAAGGTTTGCTATTGTTGATGATATATATTTAATAGCATTGTTTTCCAATGTACTGAACATTGTGGTGGCTATGAGTTCCTGTAGCATACCTTGGATTTCTGAAACCTTTGTATTTGTTGCAAATGGATCACTAATCATCTGATCTGATCTTAAAGCATGGGCTGTTGTAGGTCGTTTCATAACTCTTTCTTTCCAAGATTTCCACAAAGTACCTCTATATACTGAAGAAAAAAACATAAAACTGTGAAATTGCACTTTTTCTTTTGCATTGTGTTTATCTATGTTTAAACCTAAGTAATTTAGCATAGGTTAACTATAACTAATTAACTATAAGATAAAGATTAATCTGAAAACTTTAGCTCTAAAGTAAACAGTATTATTTTTAAAAGAATGACTCTTTTCACATAATCACCTAGAACTTTTTCTTTCTTTTTTGTTGAGAGGGATCTCCCTGTTTCCCAGGCTGGAGTGCAGTGGCATGATCACTACAGCCTCAACTTGGGCTCAAGCAATCCTCCTGCCTCAGCCTCCCTGCCTCTCTGAGTTGCTGGTGTTACAGGTGCAAGCCACAGGACCTGCCAACCACCTAACACTTCTGCTTCCAGAGTTTAGGACATGAACTCAGCTGTGACCTCAACTTAATTTTAGTTACAAGTTTGGGGTTAGATATAATGTAAGACAAGGCCAGGCTTGGTGGCTCACGCCTGTAATCCCAGCACTTTTGGAGGCCAAGGCAGGCAGATCACTTAAGGTCAAGAGTTCAAGACCAGCCTAGCCAACATGGTGAAACCCCATCTCTACTAAAAATACAAAAATTAGCCATGTGTGATGGTGCGCGCCTATAATCCCAGCTGCGCAAGAGGCTGAGGCAGAATTGCTTGAACCCAGGAGGCAGAGGTTGCAGTGAACCAAGATCACGCCACTGCACTCAAGCCTGGATGAGAAAGAGAGACTCCATCTCAAAAAAAAAAAAAAGTAAGACAAAACTTTGCTCTGGCTTTGGTTGTGCTAATACTTTCCATTTTCTTTCTCAGATTCCTGTCTCTCTCTTTTTTTCAGAATCAAAGCTAACCTTAGTTCTCTCAAAAGTGTCATAAATTGACAGATAAAAGACACATTTGGCCGGGCATGGTGGCTCACGCCTGTAATCCCAGCACTTTGGGAGGCTGAGGCAGGTGGATCACTTGAGGTCAGTAGTTCAAGATCAGGCTGGTCAACATGGTGAAACCCTGTCTTTACTAAAAATACAAAAATTAGCTGGGTGTGGTGGCATGAGCCTGTAGTCCTAGGTACTTGGGAGGCTGAGACAGGAGAACAGGTTAAACCCGAGAAGCAGAGGTTGCGGTGAGCCTAGATCACGCCACTGCACTCCAGCCTAGGTGACAGAGTGAGACTCCATCTCAAAAAAAAAAAAAAAAAAAAAAAAAAAAAAAAAAAAAAAAAGACTCACATTTGAAAAGATTTGCAGAATGGCTGAGTGAAAAAAATCAACAATATTTTTTCCCAAAAGCAAAGATAAAACAGGGCAAAACTATCAAAACAACAATTTTAGGACTTTGAAAATTGACCAAAGGCAACACACTGAGAAGCATTTATTCACAAAAAACTACAGAACCTTAGTAACAAACAGTGAAAATGTGCTAAATTGGAGTTGCGTCCATCCTCAAACCCCTAGATCCATGGCCGGGAACTTCTACCAGAGTGAGACAGGCTGTAAGGATTGACAACTCTACTGTCTATGGGGATGATTTGACTTGGCACAAAGCCTGGAAAAACCCATGCCCAGTGGCGTTGTCAGCTGAGGCAGGAGAATCACTTGAACCCAGGAGGCAGAGGTTGCAGTGAGCCAAGATCATGCCACTACACTCCAGCCTGGGTGACAGAGTGAGACTGTCTCAAAAATAAATAAATAAATAAATAAATGAAAAGAAATCATACAAAGTATGTTTCCCAATTGCAAAAAAATTATATATAATGTTACACTAATTCTGCCTCTCTTATTGAACCCTGAGTGATATGAGTTCTTAGTACAATACTAAAATCATGATTCATTTTAAAAAATTGATAAATTGATTGATTAGATTTCATCAAACTAACACTCTTAGGCTTCAAAACACCACTAAGAAAATGAAGACAAGTCATAGAAAGGGAGAAAATATTTGCAAATCACTTTTCTGATAAAGGACTTATATCCAGCCATGTGTGGTGACTCACACCTATAATCCCAGAACTTTGGGAGGCTGAGGCAGGAGGATCATTTGAGTTCAGGAGTTTGAGGCCAGCCTGAGCAACATGGTGGGACTCTGTCTCTACAAAAAGTTTTCACAAATAAGCTGGGTGTGGTGGCACACACCTGTAGTCCCAATGACTCAGGAGGCTGAGGCAGGAGGATCCTCTGAGCCCAGGAATTCCAGGTGGCAGTGAGATACTATTGCACAAATGCACTGCAGCTCAGACAACAGAGCAAGACCCTATTTTTTAAAAAAAGACCTATATCCAGAAGGTATAAAGAAATGTTAAAACTCAATTTAAAAAATGGACAAATAGGCCGGGTGCGATGGCTCACGCCTGTAATCCCAACACTTTGGGAGGCTGAGGCAGGCAGATCACCTGAGGTCGGGAGTTCGAGGAGAGCCTGACCAACATGGAGAAACTCCATCTCTACTAATAATACAAAATTAGCCGTGCATGGTGGCACATGCCTGTAATCCCAGCTACTCAGGAGGCGGAGGCAGAATTGCCTGAACCCGGGAGGCAGAGGTTGTGGTGAGCCGAGATCGTGCCATTGCTCTCCAGCCTGGGCAACAAGAGCAAAACTGTCTCAAAAAAAAAAAAAAAAAAAAAACCAAAAAATTGGGTGAGTGTTTGAATAGATATTTCACTAAAAATATATATATAGAAAGGCTTAATAAGCACATGAAACATGCTTAGCATCATTTGCCTAGAAAAATGCAAATGGGGCCAGACCTGGTGGCTCACGCCTGTAATCCCAACTCTTTGGGAAGCCAAAGCAGGGGTATCACCTGAAGTCAGGAGTTCAAGACCAGCCTGACCAACATAGAGAGACCCCCTCTCTACTAAAAATACAAAATTAGCTGGGCGTGGTGGTACATTCCTGTAATCCCAGTTACTTGGGAGGTTGAGGCAGGAGAATCACTTGAACTCGGGAGGAAGAGGTGGCAGTGAGCCAAGATCGTGCCATTGCACTCCAGCCTGTGCGACAAGAGTGAAACTCTGTCTCAAAAAATAAAAAAAGAAAGAAAAGGAAATGCATGCAAACCGAAACCACAGTGAGATACAACTTCACATATACTAGGGTGGCCATAATAAAAAAAGACAATAACAAGTGTTGTTGAGGAAATGGAGAAATTGGAACCTGCATACATTGCTGATGAGAATGTAAAATGGTACAGTCATTTTGGAAAACAGTTGAGAGTTTCTTTAAAAGTTAAACATAGGCCGGCTGCGGTGGCTTATGCCTATAATTCCAGCACTGTGGGAGGCCAAGGTGGTTGGATCATAAGGTCAGGAGATCGAGACCGTCCTAGCCAATATGGTGAAACCCCATCTCTACTAAAAAAAATACAAAAAATTATCTAGGCATGGTGGCACGTGCTTGTAGTCCAGCTACTCTGGAGGCTGAGCAGGAGAATCGCTTGAACCTGGGAAGCGGAGGTTGTAGTGAGCCGAGATCCTGCCACTGCACTCCAGACTGGTGACAGAGCTAGACTCTGTCTCAAAAAATAAAAAAAAATTAAACATAAACTTACCATATGTCCTAGCAATTCTACTCCTAGCTATCTACCCAAAATAAATGAGTAAATAATGGCACTCCTGGCTATCTACCCAAAAAATGGGTAAATAATGGCATTATTCATAAAAGCCTTGAAGTGGAAACAGTTCAAATGTGTATCAACTGGTGAATGGGTAAACAAAATATGGTATATCTAAACAACTGTGTAAACTAGCAATGAAAAGAAATTACCGAAATATCCTATAACATAACTGAATTTCAAAAACATTGTGCTAGTTGAAAGAAAACAAACAGAAAATACCACATATAATATGATTCTGTTTGTGTGAAATATCCAGAAAAAGCAAATGTAGTGGGAGAGAAAGTACATGAGTGACTGTCTGGCTCTGCTGATGGGTATGAGATTGACTACAAATTAGCATGAGGGATCTTTTTGGGATAATGGAAATGTTCTCAAAGTAGATTGTTGGCCGGGTGCAGTAACTCACACCTGTAATCCTAGCACTTTTCGAGGCCAAGGTTGGCGGATCACTTGTTAGAAACCAGCCTGTCCAACATGACGAAACCCCTGTCTCTACTAAAAATACAAAAAAATTAGCCAGGCATGGTGGCAGGCACCCGTAATCCCAGCTACTCAAGAGGCTGAGGCAAGAGAATTGCTTGAACTCAAGAGGCAGAGGTGGCAGTGGGCCGAAATTGTGCCACTACACTCCAGCGTGGGTGACAGAGTGAGACTCCATCTCAGGAAAAATACAAAATTTAAAAAACAAATTAAAAATAAAATTAAACAGGAGGCTGAGGCAGGAGAATTGCCTGAACCCAGGAGGCGGAGGTTGCGGTGAGCCGAGATGGCGCCATTGCACTCCAGCCTGGGTAACAAGAGCGAAACTCTGTCTCAAAAAAAAATAAAAATAAAAATAAAAAATAAAAATAAAATTAAATTGTGATAATTGCACAACTCTGTAAATATACAGAAAATCACATAACTGTACACTTCACATGCATGCAAATTATATCTCAATAAAGCTGTCTTTTTGGCCAGGCATGGTGGCTTGCGCCTGTAATCAATGTGGATCACTTGAGGTCAGGAGATTGAGACCAGCCTGGCCAATACGGTGAAACCCTGTCTCTACTAAAAATACAAAAATTAGCCTGGCGTGGTGATACATATTTGTAGTTCCAGCTACTCTGAAGGCTGAGGCAGGAGAATCACTTGAGCCCTGGAGGCGGAGGTTGCTGTGAGCTGAGATCAGGCCACTGCATTCCAGCCTGGGTAATAGAGTGAGACTGTCTCAAAATAAAAAAAAAAAAAAAGAAAAGAAAAAGAAGCTGTTTCTTTATGAAAAAGTCAAACTCCATCTTCAAAAGCATAAAGCACCCTTACATATTTTTTTCTTTTGTTTCTTCTTTTCGTCGAGGAAAAATGTGCTAAATCTGCTTAGTATCTTGACATTGTTGTCAATAGCTTTTAATGTTTCTGGTAACATCTCCATTTGTGCTATCCAGTGGTGGTGTTCATCAACATCCATTAGAGTCATCTCAGACAAAATGGCATCTTGAAGAGAGAGAAAAAAAATCATTTTTGTGCAGCAAAATAAATATATATAAGCTTATAATATTGGGTAACTACTCAATATAGTTGTATTGGGCAATATAGGTATCCCACATTTATTGCCTTTCTGAAGCTTTTTCTCAATGAAGAAATTAAAAAGAAAGAAACTGGCTGGGTGCAGTGGCTTACACCTGTAATCCCAGCACTTTGGGAGGCCAAGGCGGGCAGATCATGAGGTCAGGAATTTGAGACCAGCCTGACCAACATGGTGAAGCCTCGTCTCTACTAAAAATACAAAAATTAGCCGGGCGTGGTGGCAGGTGCCTGTAGTCTCAGCTACTTCGGAGGCTGAGGCAGGAAAATCGTTTGAACCTGGGAGGTAGAGGTTGCAGTGAGCTGAGATTGAGCCACTGCACTCCAGCCTGGGTGACAGAGCGAGACTGTCTCAAAAATAAATAAATAAATAAGAAATAAATAAAAAGGAAGAGACTTAGAAGGCTAAACAGTAAGTCTTAGACATGAAGACATGAATCAGGTTAAAAAGTGTCTGTTTGGTTTGGTGCCTAAAATGTGTGTGTGTGTTTTAATATTGGAGATCTAAGCCCCAATTAACTCGTTTGGCAAGTTATCCGTTATATTTTTTTGTTTTTGTTTTTGTTTTTGAGAACAAGTCTTGCTCTGTTACCCAGGCTGGAGTGTAGTGGTGCCATCTCAGCTTAATACAACCTCCACCTCCCAGGTTAAAGCGATTCTCCTGCCTCAGCCTCCCGAGTAGCTGGGTCCACAGGTGCATGCCACCACACCTTGCTAATTTTTGTATTTTTAGTAGAGACAGGGTTTCACCATGTGTTGGCCGGGCTGGTCTCGAACTCCTGACCTCAGGTGATCTACCTGCCTCAGCCTTCCAAAATGGTGGGATTACAGGTATGAGCCACCATGCCCAGCCGTTATCCAGTATGTATAACCCTCGCTGCATGAAATTTCTAGCAACAAAATAAAATTCCACTTTTTGGTATTCTTAACTTATTCCTTCTTTCATTCCACCAGTGCCTACTCTGACTTGTGCTATTGTAGATGCTGTGAATGCAACATTAAGTAAAACAAGTTCCCTGACTTCATACTGCTTACCTTCTGGTGAAAGGAGAGAGAGAAAAAGTTAATTATATAGGAAGTCAGATACTAATGCTATAGACAAAAATAAAGGTAGGCCTGGTGCAGTAGCTCATGCCTGTAATCCCAGCACTTTGGGAGGCTGAGGCAGGTGGATCATTTGTGGTCAGGAGTTCAAGACCAGCCTGGCCAACATGGTGCAACCCTGTCTCCACTAAAAATACAAAAGTTACCTGGGTGGTAGTGGTGCACGCCTGTAGTCCCCAACTACTTGGGAGGCTGAGGCAGGAGAATCACTTGAGCCTGGGAGGCAGGGGTTACAGTGAGCCGAGATCGCACCACAGCACTCCTGTCTGGGTGACACAGTGAGACCCTGTCTCAAAAAAAAAAAAAAAAAAAAATGCCAGGTGTGGTGGCTCACGCCTGTAATCCCAGCACTTTGGGAAGCCAAAGTGGGTGGATCACGAGGTCAGGAGTTCAAAACCAGCCTGGCCAACATAGTGAAACCCCATCTCTACTAAAAAATACAAAAAAATTAGCCAGGCATGGTGGCCCATGCCTGTAGTCCCAGCTACTTGGGAGGCTGAGGCAGGAGAATCACTTGAACCCGGGAGGTGGAGGTTGCATTGAGCCAAGATTGTGCCATTGCACTCCAGCTTGGGCAACAGAGTGAGACTTCATCTAAACAAACAACCAAAAAAAAGGGTAAAGTGTAAAGAAAAGTGCCAAGTGGTAGAGAATGGGGATGGTCAGAGAACATCTCATTTTAAAGTGGAATTTAAGCAGGGAATGAGCCATGTGTCCATCTGGTGGAAGATGCTCCAGATAAGGAATAGTAGGCATAAAGACACTGCTGGCATGCTTTTAAAAAAAGCAAGGAGGCCAGCAGAGCTAGTACTAAGTGAATAAGCCTATATTTTTCCTATTTTATTCCTACTGGAAGAGAGAATAACTATTCTCTGAATAACTTCCTTAGTCTTTTCTTCTTTAGTCTAATTAATCCTTCAAAATTTACTTCTATATTCTCTTCTCTATCTTTTTCATTAACTTTGTGGTTTTCCTCTGAACTACTTCTGTAAACTTACTCCATTCTTCCAACCAGACCAGAATGTTGACAAGAGTCTTTTCTTTAATTTCAGCAGTCTTAGCGTAAGTAGCCATTTTCTCAAGAAAACTAGTTCTCTGTTTTCTCTTATGTTCTGCAAGGGCAACATTCCTTTCAGAGGGCGAGTTAAAAACAAGACTATAGCGAGTCATTATTCGATGCACATTGTTCATTATTTCACTCAGCTGCATATCAATGTCCTGTAAGAATAAGAAGGGGGAATGTATTAATCTTCAGTTTGAAAAGAAGCTTTGGTCACCTTTCTGCTCAGAATGTCAGTGACAGTTAATTTAAAGTTATCTGATTAAAGTCTTGCTAATTCTAGCTTTATTGTGAGTCTTAAATTTTTCCTATTAAAAAAATTCTTTTTTCTGCCTTCATCATCCTAGCAATGCTATGATATAATGGAAAGAGCATTGGGTTTGAACCCATACCTGGATCTTAACTCTAGGTCTTTCATTATCATAACTTTTTTTTTTTTTTTTAAGATGGAGTTTTGCTCTTGTTACCCAGGCTGGAGTGCAATTGCGTGATCTCGGCTCACCACAACCTCCGCCTCCTGGGTTCAGGCAATTCTCCTGCCTCAGCCTCCCGAGTAGCTGGGATTACAGGCACCCGCCACCATGCCCAGCTAATGTTTTGTATTTTTAGTAGAGATGGGGTTTCACCATGTTGACCAGAATGGTTTTGATCTGTTGACCTCGTGATCCACCCGCCTCGGCCTCCCAAAGTGCTGGGATTACAGGCTTGAGCCACCGTGCCCGGCCTTTTTTTTTTTTTGAGACAGAGTCTTGCTCTGTTTTGAGGCGCCAGGCTGGAGTGCAGTGGCACAATCTCAGCTCACTGCAATCTCCGCCTCCTGGGTTCAAGCAATTCTCCTGTTTCAGTCTCCCAAGTAGCTGGGACTACAGGCATACGCCACCACGCCCAGCTAATTTTTGTATTTTTTGTTAGAGACGGAGTTTCGCCATGTTAGCCAGGATGGTCTCGATCTCTTGACCTCGTGATCCACCCGCCTCGGCCTCCTAAAGTGCTGGGATTACAGGCATGAGCCACTGCGCCCAGCCTATCATAACTTTTTAACTTTTTTTTTTGAGACAAAGTCTTGCTCTTGTCCCCCAGGCTGGAGTGCAATGGCGCTATATTGGCTTACTGCAACCTCTGCCTCCTGGGTTCAAGCAATTCTCCTGCCTCAGCCTCCTGAGTAGCTGAGATTACAGGCGCCTGCCACCACACCTGGCTAATTTTTATATTTTTAGTAGAGATGGAGTTTCACCATGTTGACCAGGCTGGTCTGGAACTCCTCACCTCAGGTGATCCACCTGCCTCTGCCTCCCAAAGTGCTGGGATTACAGGCATGAGCCACCTCATCCGACCTAAAATGACTTTTAATGAATCACAGTATTTCTGAGCTCCCTCTGCAGGCTCTGTAAAATGATGGAGATACTAGGCCGGGCGTGGTGGCTCAAGCCTGTAATCCCAGCACTTTGGGAGGCCAAGGCGGGTGGATCACGAGGTCAACAGATCAAAACCATCCTGGTCAACATGGTGAAACCCCGTCTCTACTAAAAATACAAAACATTAGCTGGGCATGGTGGTGCATGCCTGTAATCCCAGCTACTCAGGAGGCTGAGGCAGGAGAATTGCCTGAACCCAGGAGGCGGAGGTTGCGGTGAGCCGAGATCGCGCCATTGCACTCCAGCCTAGGTAATAAGAGTGAAACTCTGTCTCAAAAAAAAAAAAAAAAGATGGAGATACTAATTTCATAGTTGATGTCAAGTGTATAACATTTGTGAATATGCTTTATAAGCTATAGCTACTAACAAAACAGACAAACGAATAAACCACGGTGGCTCACCTTGTAATATCAGCACTTTGGGAGGCCAAGGCAGGCAGATCACAAGGTCAGGAGTTCAAGACCAGCCTGGCCAACATGGTGAAATCCTATCTCTACTAAAAATACAACAACAAAAAAATTAGCCTGGTGTGGTGTCAGGCACCTGTAATCCCAGCTACTTGGGAGGCTGAAGCAGGAGAATTGCTTGAACCCGGGAGGCAGAGGTTGCAGTGAGCCAAGATTGCACCACTGCACTCGAGCCTGGGTGACAGAGCAAGACTCTGTCCCAAAAAAATTAAAAAAAGAGAAAAGAAAAAAATGCAAGTTGCTTCTTTTTTGCTTTTTTACGTGGAAAGCAGTTATCAGAATATTCCTCAAACATACTTTTCTTTTATTTTTTATTTATTTATTTATTTTTTAAAGATAGGGTTTCACCATATTGGTCAGGCTGGTCTCGAACTCCTGACCTCAGGTGATCCGCCCACCTCAGCCTACCGAAGTGCTGGGATTACAGGCATGAGCTACCGCCCTGCCAAACATACTTTTCTTTCATTGTCTCCTTTGCTTATCACTTAATCAGCTTAGTACATTGAGTATGTAGGGAAGAAAAAGAATCTTATCAGCAAATCTCTTTTCTTCATCACTCTAACCTAGAAATTTTTTATGGATAATTACTACCTTATATATGGCATTTGGAAATCTGTGAAATCATTTTTGGTTGTCATAATAATTGTGAGGGTAGAATACTGCCATTTAGTAAAGGATACTAAGAATGCTAGTCCATCCTACAGTGCAGTGGACAGTATCCACAATGAAGAATTGTCTCAAATCCTGTGTGAATTTCAAAGTCTCATAGGGCATTGATACAGGTTTAAAAAAAAAAATCTATTTATACGTATCTAAGCCTAAAACCAAACTCTTTTTAAAAATATGAACAGGCCAGGTGTGGTGGCTCACGCCTGTAATCCAAGCACTTTGGAGGCCAAGGTGGGTGGATCACCTGAGGTTGGGAGTTCAAGACCAGCCTGGCCAACATGGTGAAACCCTGTCTCTAGTAAAAACACACAAAAAAATTTGCTGGGCATGGTGGTGGATGCCTGCTATTCCAGCTACTCAAGAGGCTGAGGCAGGAGAATCTCTTGAACCCGGGAGGCAGAGGTTGCAGTGAGTCAAGATAACACCATTGCACTCCAGCCTGGGCAACGAGAGTGAAACTCCCATCTCAAAAAAAAAAAAATTTTTTTTAATTCAACGTGTTTTTTTTTTTTTTTAGAAAGAGTTTCGCTCTTGTTACCCAGGCTGGAGTGCAATGGCGCGATCTCAGCTCACTGCAACCTCCACCTCCTGGGTTCAAGCAGTTCTCCTGCCTCAGCCTCCTGAGTAGCTGGGATTACGGGCACGCACCACCATGCCCAGCTGATGTTTTGTATTTTTAGTAGAGACGGGGTTTCACCATGTTGACCAGGATGGTCTCGATCTCTCGACCTCATGATCCACCCACCTCGGCCTCCCAAAGTGCTGGGATTACAGGCTTGAGCCACCGTGCCCGGCCCAAAGTGGTTTTTGCCCAATTTAATGATACACTACAATTTCCAGGAATACAAATAATATATAAATCAAGAAAAAAAGTTCTTTAAAATTTCTCCAAGAAATTAGTGTTAATAGTATTTAGTGCAGTACAATAAAGCTGAATTTGTATCAGCCTCCATTTGTATCTTTCTTATTTATTTATTTTGAGATGGAGTCTTGCTGTCATTTAGGCGGGAGAGCAGTGGCATGATCTTGGCTCACTGCAGTCTCTGCCTTCCGGCTTCTTGAAATTCTCATGCCTCAGCCTCCCCAGTAGCTGGGATTACAGGCTTCTGCCACCGTCTGACTAATTTTTGGATTTTTAGTAGAGACAGAATTTCACCATTTTGGGCAGGCTTATCTCAAATTCCCGACCCTAAGTGATCCACTCACCTCAGCCTCCCAAAGTGCTGGGACTACAGGCATGAGCCACCATGCCTGGCCCAGATTTATTTTAATTCTACATATAGATGCAAGCCTCTGTCTACTTCTAGGGAAGTTCAACCTATGACTTACACACTGAAATGCGTGTTATTATAAATTGCTTTACTTTTACTTATTCTCACATTTATATTTTTTAAGTATAGGTAGTGTTTTGTTTTGTTTTGTTTTTTATAGAGACAGGTTTTCACCTTGTTGGTCAGGGTGGTCTTGAACTCCTGACCTCAGGTGATCCACCCACCTCAGCCTCCCAAAATGTTGGGATTACAGGCATGAGCCACCACGCCTGACCAAAGTATACGTAGTGTATCTATGAATATCATTTTAGAGGAATAAAGGGAATGTTAAAAATATTTTTAGAGGCACAGTATATCTGACAGTTAAGAACCACTTCCAACTTTTTTATTCTTTCATTTTGTCTTCAGAAAAACCAAACTCTCTGCATTCTTTATAATAAGAGTAAGATTTGGATTTTGCCAACCAAATCATCATACAAAATAAGTATTCTGATGTTACGTGTATTTGCTCTTACAGCAAATAATAACTTAAGTCAGGAACACAGAAGAGTCAAGGCAAAGTTTGCTAGGCCAAGTGATGAAAAATAACATTACAAGCTAACACACAGCACAGTGATCAAAGAAAAAATGCTACCAACTCCTCATAAAGTCTGCTAGAAAAGTGAAGAGGAAAAAATACTTCCCAACTCATCTTTTGAGGCCAACATATATCAAAGCCAGACAAAAGCACTACAAAATAAGAAAACTAAATACAAACATGCCTGATGAATATTGATACAGAAAACCTTAGCAAAATACTAGTGAACAGCATTCAACAGCACATTCAAAGGATTATACACCATGATCAAGTGAGATTTATTTCTAGAATCCAAGGATGGTTAAATATATATAAATCAATCAATGCAATGCACGAAATTAACAGAATGACAGGAAAAAACCACATGTGGTCATCTCAATTGATGCAGAAAAAGCATTTGACAAAATGTAACACACTTTCATAATAAAAAATACACAAGAACCTGGGCACAGTAGTTCATGCCTGTAATCCCAGCACTTTGAGAGGCCAAGGCAGAAGGATCACTTGAGTCCAGAAGTTCAAGACCAGCCTGAGCAACATGGTGAAACCCTGTCTCTACAAAAAATAAAAAATATCGGCCGGGCGCGGTGGCTCAAGCCCGTAATCCTAGCACTTTGGGAGGCCGAGGCGGGTGGATCACGAGGTCAAGAGATCGAGACCATCCTGGTCAACATGGTGAAACCCCGTCTCTACTAAAAATACAAAAAAAAAAAAAAAAAAAAAACTAGCTGGGCGTGGTGGCGCGTGCCTGTAATCCCA